AGTTTAATTGAGGCTATTTCAAGAGGCCCAAAGATTGAAGCACTAAAGCACTTGAGGATGATATAGAGCTAGATGTGGTTACTATAGGGGTCCAAAAGAAGCCGGGATAATGTTACAACTCTCGATATGGATCAAGCCTGTAGCTGACCTAACTTGTTCACAAATTCCACTAAAGCATAAGCACTCAGTTGGATACACAGATAAAAACGCTACGAAAAGTACCGCTCATCTTAATGTTCCTAGAGTGCCTCAGTAACTGTCAATGACATATATTTAAATTCATTTTGGCTGGAGCATAATATTAGCACTCACCAGTTGCGATCTTTTCAAAGTTAAATAACAAGTTGAGCCTAGATTAATTGGACTAATACTATTTTCTTCCATTCATAAAACATAATCGGAAGTTTGATAATCTCACCTCTGACTGGTTTTGCATTGAAGCAAGCAAATCTTTAACTGAAGGATCATTTGGGTCAACCCCTGGAAGCTGCAAGAAACATTTAAATGTCATGTGATCAATTCACTAGAAGAGATACTTTTATACTGCATTTCTCCTCAGGGGAAGGAAAGAAAAAAAATGGGGGAATCTTATTGAAATACCGAGGCAAGGATGGAAGACACAAAAGACTGATCGGCCAGTAATTTACTCATATCCTTCTCGCTACCCGAATCTTTTCCCCCTTCCTGAACAGACATTTGAAGAGCTGCAAGCCCCAAATATCAGGAATTAAAGCTGAATGCTTATTTTGATAACGGAAATGATAGTGGTAAATTACAGAATATATGACAGAAGAGTACTATATTAATTAAATTAACCAAAGCAGTTCTGTCACATGCTCAGAATTTCAGGATTTCTGCCAGTTGTTAAATGGACAGAGCCAAATGGTGCATAACAACACATTTTTCAGAAGCAAAATGACTCCAAAACAAGCAGCACATGCTTATTACTAAATGGTTAAAGCTTCCCATTTTCTGCAATAGCACCTTACTCTAGATTCCTAGTCCAACCAATGAGAAATTACAACAAACTAACATTTTTCTTCAACCTATGCACCCATACATGAATGGAGTATGGTAAAATATAAAAACTCACCAAGAGCCAATTCTGGATCAGTTGCCTCGGACATATCTGTGTCTCGAATATCATCGCTGGAGGCAGGTTCATCCATCGACATTGCAAGGGCCTGTTGTAGCAGGGCATTCTCATCATCCTGTTGTCAGTTTATGGTCAGTTAACATAGCACATGATGAGTTCTCTTTCATGCTAAGGACAAAACAAAAGATAAGGCATAACAAAGAAATAAAGACATTTAAAATAACCCAAGAACAGAATCAATCAGAGCTCGTGGGTTCTAGCAAACTTCATGGTATGTTAGGCAATAGAACATATTTTTCTTGTAATGCTACACCCTCACTGACCACCTTATTAAAAATAAATAAAAAACAAGAAAATAAAGAAAGGGCACCCACCATGAAATCACTACTCTTATTCTCAGCTTCAGAAGTTCCAACACTGGCACGATCAGTCATCGTTGCATCTTGTGAGCTGGATTGCCCCTCCCCTCCTTTTTCCTGTTTGGCAGCATCCTCGGATGCCTTTTTAGCAGCTGCTTCTTGTCTGGCCCTCTCTTCTTCCATTGAAACTCTAAGAGCAAGGGCAAGCTCAGGATCCAGGTTTGGATCCACGCCGAAATCAAAACCAGAGACACCACCTGCGGCAGCAGCTGCTGCTGCTGCGGCAAAACCACTCCCGCCTTCCCCATCTCCGGTGAAGATAGGTGTACTGCCGCAACAGAAAAGAAAACATAGATAAAAAATTCCAAGGGTAAAGTTCACCAATCCTCCATGAACTGTATTTCGTAACCTATATTAGTTTTTGAAGTTCAAAATTCGACACTCAAACCCCTAAATGACACTGATGTTTTCATTCATTCAACTCCTAACTCTTGAACCAAGGTGGCCTATAACTAAGTGCTAAAGTACCACTGAATTCACCACTTTGCTATAAAATATCAACAAAAGTCAAGTTTTGGACCAACTAAACAAAAAGTTTGTTAACTAGAAGATTAAGTGTTACATTTACGGATTTTCATATAAAAAGTGTCATATTAAAAGTTTTTTTTTTTCAAATAAAAGAGTGTCATGTTTAAAGTTCAGGGTGCTAATATGAGACCCAAGTACAGTTCAGGGGTATTCACTCAACTTTTAAGGATTAAAACTTAACGATTTTGAGGAAGCAATAAAAAAAAACTGACCTTATAAGTACATCAGATAGAGCACTTGGACCTGCTGGTACATGAACAATGTGGCTGGTGTCATTATTGTTCACAGCAGCAAGTAGTGCTTCTAGCTTCTCTGTCTTAGCTTCATCTTCTTCACCAAAATTGACAATATCAAGGGCCACGCTGTTCTTCTTTAACTTCCTTCCAATCATCTCTAAAAGCTTTTTGTCATGTTTGACAGTACTGAAACACACATAAGTCAAAATGATCAATATGTAAGTAACTAGCAAATACCAAAATGAAAAGAAAAGCATGGCTTGGATTATGAACCTTCCGGCGAACACAATAATTCTCTGTTGCTGTTTCTTATTTTGGCGATGCTTGAGAGCCAATTGAGCCACCTGAATGCCAGCAGCCAGGTTCATCTCACCACCTATTTCTAAACCTAGATTTTCAAAAGGGGTCAAAATATCAATGAATGCATTCTATTATAGATAACAAGCACAATTCACTTAAAATGAGAATGAGGATGTAGTCAATAAGGAGTCAAAGACTTGCACTACATTAAAATGTTCAAAACTTCAATAACACTACAAACCATACGTGTGAGAAATTAAAGTAAAAGCACTTACCATGCATGCATGCCAGAATCTTGCCAAGATCACTGGTTGGAGTGACCAAAACACGAACACCTTTTCCTGCCATGGTGAGAATTCCTACCGTATTCTCCGGATTAGACTGTAGACAAAAACCCATACGACTTCACTTCAGATTGAAAACCAAGAAGCAACCATTACGATCATATAACTGAACAACAACAAAAACCCAACCACAAAAAGCTCCCATCTTTCCCTCTCTAGATGCAATGAACGCACCAGAACACAGTCAAATGACAATCTACCAATATGTTAAACAACAGAACGCAATTCAAATCCCAAAAGTTACATAATTCCAATGAAGCAATGTTTAGTGGGAGATTATAATCAACTAATGCAAATAAGCTGAGCTCAACCCGCTAAGGCATTCGAAGTTTTACTATCCTATCTCGAACTACCCAACAACCAAACAAACAATTACGGAAATAAATAGCAATACACAATTAGTAATCATAAATCTTTACCTGGGTTTTAGCGCCGCAAATCAGATTAACAGCATCGGCCTGAGCTTGAAACCTGGACGGGGCGTAATCGCCGTTCCGCATCCATTCCGAATTATCAATGCAGATCATTGTCGCCTGTCCAGCAAAGCAACGCGAACAATATACGAACAAAATAACCAAAATTAAAACCCTAATTCGCGAGAAAGACGAAGAATTTGGGGAATTTGAACTTGCAGTGCAGAAATTAATCGAGGTCGTGAAGGGAAATTAGGGTTTCGGAACTCTTACCTCGAGCACCATGGTTGCAGATTGCGGAGAAAGATCGAGACAGATTGATCGAGAAGAAAATAAAAGTGAGAAGTTCCTCTCCTGTGAGTTCTAATTATAATTTTGTATTTCACTTTATCAGGTGCAGACCAGGATTTTCGAGCGAAAGCTGTACAGAAAATTCTACCAATGACATGCTGCCACGTAAGGTTTGAGTCCCTGGTATGGCCTAAAGAGGAAATTAAATGGCCTAAACAGAAAATTATAGCAATGGTACCTTAACTTTAACTAAATTGGAGCAATGGTCACTCAACTAAAATTCATGAATATTTGTCTCTTAACTCATCAAAACCTGCAACTATGGTCTTTTTCGTCAACTCTAATAGAACTTTTTTCAAAATGAATCATTTGTCACGCACGTCAGGTTGAATCAATGAGAAAATATGAAAAAACAAAATAAGAAAATTGTAGTAATGGTCCCTCAACTGTAACCAAGATCAATGGTTTCTCAATTTTAACCCAATTGGAGAAATGGTCACTCAATTTTAACCCAATTGTGGTAATGGTCCTTCCAACATAACTCATTTTGACGGATTTATGACAGAGTTGACGAAATTGACCATAACTGCATGTTGTAATAAATTAAAGGATTGATAGTCATGAATTTTTAGTTAAGGAACTAATGTTCCAATTAAGTTAAAATTGAAGAACCATACTATAATTTTTTCGGCCTAAGAAAGTCTTTTGCATGGATACTGGATTGTATTAAGCTCAAGCCCGTCTATGTCCGATCATGATTCTTCTGGCCCAGGTGCTTCTCTAATACTGTACAAACTAAACTGAGCCGCACCAGACACTTCAATTTTTTCAATTTTGACGTTTGAAACCGAACCAAGAACTGAGATATCTTATCCTTATAATCTGGATCAAGACTCGCCTCGAGCTGAAAGATCTTATCCTCTTCAGCTCGTTTCAAGAGAGTTGTACCGTTTATGGTGGGAGGCCAATAAAGATTCGACTCATTCCACATACTTTTGAGATATCCCAGATGTTGAATGAAGGGTTTGCCGTTTCGACAGCTTGCTGCAATGGTAAGACATGGAACTTTCTATGAAGATTCATCCATTGGAATTCCACTTTCCGTAGCTTAAATGAATTTAACATAGATTATCATATCGTTTGTCAATAAAAAGAACTGTAGTTGGAGACAACAGAATGTTTGCATACTCGTGAATTCACACATTTAATCTAGGAAGGTATTCAATTCAATGTAATCATGGCCGCCTTTGATATTTTAGAGCCGCCTTTGATATTTTAGAGCTTCGTATATTCTTTTTTTTCTTTTCAAAGTTTAACTAAAGTTCAACGCCGGAATAAGAGGATAAGAGTCAAATTTTCGTCAATATTTGCAATTACGTAACCATGATTTTATTCCCCTTCCTCATACTTGGAAGTGATACATTCTTCCTCAAGTACATGCCATACACTATCCACACAGAAAATCAGAGTACAGATATAGATATTACTTGCCACCCAAGAAATTAGAGCTCTGCTTCTGTTTCCTTCTGCTGGTCCACATCTTCTTCCTTTTTTGGTAGCTCATCTTCTGGCTTTTTCTGGTCAGCGTCTTCCGGCTTAGTAACAGGAAAATTATGCTCGACCCAAGCAAGATAGCCTCCTCCCATGTTCCTCACATGCTCGAAACCCTATCATTTCATTGACAATCTTCTAAGAATTTGATAGAAATGAAAGAACAAATATGAACAGGGTGAAAGGTGGGATCATATGCACAAACAAAACCAGTTACAAACTTTTACTAAAAACATAAAGTCGGGGGACACCAAACCGTGGTTTTCAGAAGGCTTATAGTCGGTTTAGTGATCCCCAATTCTATTTTTTTATTAAACATCTGTAATCGGTTCTAAAATATGCACAAATCGAAACAGATTTGAGAATACGAACAGCAGCCTGAAGATCAGCAGTTGCATAAAGGGATCTGACACCACTTTGACAACCCTGTAAATATAATATCAGTCAGACATTTACCAGAAATATGTTCTTGATTCTTAGTAAAACGCTACAAGATAAACCATGAAAGTTGACAGTAAAAAAAATACCACAACAAGAAGGTCATCTTTTTTGCAAGCAGATGAAACCTCTTCCAAAAACTGGGGATTTTTTACCCTTCCTAGGTAAAAGAAGACATGAAATTCATTACTTTCAAGGTAAATACGAATAAAAAGTAGTGAAAACAGAAGTTACAGCCACCTTCAGGTGTATTGAACATGTAAGGAATGTTCAAAATCTTCTTTACATCCACATGCCCTTTCTTGTACTCCTCCTCCGTCCTATCACAAATAACATAAATTAAAAACCCAATTGAAAAGTTTGAACTTAGGCCATTTGTGTTTGTTTGTATAGGAAGCCCTTCTGCTCATAAACGCTTTTACCATAAGTGCACTATTAGAAACACGTTGAAATTTTTATTAAAATTCAAGTAATCCTGGTAAAGCAATTGGTAGTACTTATAGAGAACGCGTTTCTTCGTAACACTTTTAAGTACGCAGGAGAGTTTCTAGTTGTCAAAAAACGCTTTTTAACTCTTATAGAAGCAGTCCGTAACGTGCCGTTGCTCTCATAAAGTTCACTAATTTGAGAAAAAAAAAAAAGGAAAAAATAAACCGGAAAGAGAGTTCTTTACCTAACATCCAAATAACCATAGCCAGATTCGAGCAGATGTTTGGCTTCTTGAACATCAACGGTGACAACCTCCGATCCCGAGCTGCAACATAACAGAACAACACCCAGCAAACCCCATTTAAGAATTTTGGAAAAATAAAATTTAGAAATTAATTTGACTGCAAATCTGGATAGAAAAAGTCACCTTCCAAAAGAACCCATGAGGAAGAACTGCTGTTATATGAGTAGCTCTGGTTTTTGTGAGATCTGGTGGCTGTCTGGTTAATTTTCCCAGAAAAACCAGCTGAGGATAGAAAATGTGGGGTGAGAGGAATTTAGTGCTGCTGTGGTAGACTGGTAGCTCATTTTTTTGTGGGGAAGAGTGCCTATAGATAGGGAGTTAACTAATTGCAGTTCCAGTCACGTAGGGCCACATGACATCTTGCCACCCAAGGATGAGAACCCACCTTTGATGTGAAATTGACCGAATTCATGGCTTATATACAAAAGTGGGTTATGTCTGTTAACACCTTATGATAAATTCTTTGTACAGAATGTCCGTTCTTTTTTAAATGGACAACTAAAATTTGAAAGAGATTAGTTAGTTAATAATTGAAATCCGAGTTTGAAAAAGGTTAGTAGAAATGAGATTTTCTTAACATCATTTGGTATCACTTGAACTTAAAATGTGTTATATTTCTTGAATCTTAATCCTAACATTCGATTCTAGAAACATTTTATTTTAACGAGTTATTTTTGTATGTGCGTCAAACTGTGATTCACATAATTATTATTAGGAGAAATTATGTTCGCGTCCTTCATTTTGTTACTCCATTGATTAAAATCTTATTTCTTTTCAATTTTTGATCAAAGTCCTTGGTATTAATAACATCATTAATTATTTTAATAATAAAATATTTTTTTATTTCTAAATATATTCATTTAATGTTAAAAATGTTACAATTAGTATATTTATATTTATGACTAAATTTTTTATCATATATTTTTTTGTTTTAGTTTGTACTCATTTTTAATTTGTAATTCTTTTTTTAACTTGTACCAATTTTCTTTTAAGTTTTAATTTGTACCCATATATTAATTTCTTTTTGTGCCCATATTTTTTAAAGTTTATTTGTATTTGTACCCATATATATATATATATTTTTTTTATTTGTACTTTTTATTTTGCTAAATGTACCCATGCTAATTATATGTACCCATTCATGTAAAACTTTTTAATCTTAAAATGTGCTCATTCTTAAATATACCAATTTGTTGTATGTAAAATGTACCTTTTTTTATTATATATATATATAATCTATTCAATTTTTTTTTCTAATCCATTTTTAAACTTATATGGGTACATTCTTTTTTCCTTGATTTTAAAATGTATACATGTCAAGTTTAATCGAAGAAAATTACTAATGTTATTAAGCCTAATATCTTTTTTTTTATTTTTTTATTTTTTTGGTGATGTTGAAGAATGTACCCATGTTTTGATACAATAAATTTTTTGGTTAATTTTGATGAATGTACCCATGTTTATATATACACACACAATAGTATATTTATATTTTAATATTTTTAATCCCACAAATTATGGTTTTTTTATTTAAAATCTCATTTATATAAACAACTAAAATTTCTAATTTTTAATTTAAAAAACATAGTAAAGTACATAGAAATAAATTGTCACATTAATTTCTGGGACCTCGATCAAAAATTAAAAACCAACAAGGTTTCCATCAAAGAATATTCATAACTAAAGACCGCATACAAAATCTTCCTTATTATTATTTATTGTAATATAATTATACAGTTATTCAACCAACATGCTTGAGAATCATTTTTTCTCACAAACGATAGAGTTAGTGAGTTAAAATGTTAGTTGTTGGAGGAGAGGAGAATCGCTAGAGATCAACCCTGCAACAAGGTGCACATGCATCATTGCTTTGCGCTACTTCCGTAAAGTGCCATCTACAAAGATGGAGTTGGCCTTTGTGCAATCCACATCCACATCCACATCCACTAATCACTATCTAAATTATATCGAAGTCGACTAATACACTAGATACATTTACACCTAAATTATATAATCCTACCGTGTAATCCATTCAAGAGCAATGGGGCAAAAGACACCTGAGCTTCAAGCAACACATGCAGATTTGCAGAGGATCATTAAACTTTTTGTCCCTGTTTGCTGAGCTGGTGATTCATATGAACGGATTTGCGTAGGAGAGCGCCGATCAATCTTTGTATTCAAGTTGCGTTGAAGATTTACGCTCTCACGGAAACTTTGAAACAGCAGCTGTTACAGGTATTTTCATGGCAGTGCAGACAGATATCATCCTTATGTCTCTTCAATCCACGCGATGGAACACATTCGGGTGGAGTTATGGATGTTCACAATAAACAGGAGGAACACTGAAAAGAAACCATAACACAACGTTGGATGTAAGTATAGCAATGGTGTTAATGACAGAACAAGCCTCACAGACTCAAGGGTAATAGAAAAAAGAGCATGCTTTAGGCGAGGATCATGACTAGCAAGCATTTGAAAACCGAAAGGAATTGCTGATATAGATTTGGAAATAATTTTTGCTTTGATTTTGACATCTGATTCGCCAAAATGGCCGATGAAATGGTCAACGGGCAACCGAGACACGGGCGTGACCAATTCCAGCCACTCCAAACCGACATTCCATCTCGTTCACAAAAAGGTTATTCATCCTTTTGCTGAAATACGAGGTTAAAACAAATTCAAACTTCAAAATAACTAATCTCGATACCTTGAAAGTCATATTTTCCATTCACTAATTGTATAACCAGGATTTTCTCTTGATCTGCAAGAAGAGAGTACCCAAAATTTCAGTATAATAATAAAAGTAACCCCATAACCTGAAAAAGTGAGGACGGACCCAATTATCTTACCTCGGCAGTCGCAATTTTCATTCGTATATCATGCTTGCACACTGGGCAGTTTCTTCCCCATTTTCTCAGCCATGAATCCACACAACTTGAATGAAATTCTGCAAGCAGATCTCAAGCTGATTAACAGAAATCTACAAACTTCGAATGACAAGGCGAGGAAGCAAATCTAAACTACGAAATCACCCTTTTGATTAAGGCCAAAGTCAATTGCCTAATACGACGATAGTCATTTCACGTCCCTAACATTTTAGGCTATAATCAACATTAGAATTTAACAGCTTTGAACAATCAAACCGTTAACATGATATATCTACTTATATGTACTTTATAGCGGACATGGTGAGAATAGCAGCTTCTTTGAGTTCTTTCTTCTTAGAATGGACTTTGTATTCTAATATTTGTGATGAGAACTTGCACATGTCCGCAATATGAAAGTTCATACCTCGAGTTCTTCTACATTGTAATTTATGAACAGTTGGAAGTCTTCTGAGGTATTATCAAGGTAAGAGGCAAACATGTACTATGATGTCTACAAGTAAGACTTTGTGGCTTGATGAAACTGACACCAGCAACTATGATGAAAATGCAAGGGATATAAACGTGAGGGAACATCTTAAAATTACCATGCTGGCAGGGAAGAACTTTAAGAATTTCGGAATCTTTGTAATTCTCAAGGCAGATGGCGCAAGTTTCTTCATTGTGGGATTCATCCAAACCAGCAGAACTGAATGTGAAGCAAGGGAGAGCATCAACAATCTCGGTATCCGCACTTTCAGGAAGCTGGTTTCTTCCTTGAGAATAGGGCCAGCGCCAGTCTCTCTGAGCACAGTAGGCAATTATAAGGAGACCCAATACGGTTAGAAATGAGATCGATACAGCAAACACCAACCAGGCCTTTTCATTTGGCAATAGGAAGATGCAGCATTCCCCTTCTTCCCCACGAGCATGCTCCTTTAGCATTTCACCAGATGCTTTCGAAACAAATACAGAACGAATTGTAACATTCTTGCTGTTTATCATCACTGAAAAAAGAGGACAAAAATCATTATAAATTATAACAGCCTCAACGAATATCCACAATTTCACAGCAGGCAAAGGGTAACACGTACAGCAGACTTGGACTCCAATACAATCTTCAACGACATAAGAGCAGCCATAACTACATATGAAACGAGCAAGGAAAATGTAAAAGAAGCAAACAGAAATTTCAAGGGACACGGTTACTCACTGTGAACCAATTTTTCTTTCCTATCATCATAAACAATCACAGCATGAAATCCGGCATTTTGAGCGTGTTGCACTTTATCCTCAAAAGTGCATTCACCTCTTTCTACTAAAGCAAACCTCGTTATATCGGTTTCACTTGCTTGAAGACCATTGCGTAGAGGCGAGCAGGCATGCAAAGGGTCCGACACAAGCAAAACTCCACATATTTCAGGGCTACTGACAGCACCAGCTATCACAGTATTCAGATTTCAATGATTAGCAAAAGCATTTAGTCGAAAAAGCGAATTAAGTCCAAATATAATCCTGAAAGTAAAGCGATAATATGATTTTGTTGCTTCATTTAGAGCCCGTTCGACAACCATTTCAGTTTTTAACTTTCCGAAAACTTGTTTGGCAACATTTTCTAGTTTTCAATTTTCAACTAAAATTTGAAAGCTACTTTTGCGAATTTTCAAATTTTGGTTTTGTTAAACTGGAAACAGTTGCCAAACTGAAAACGAAATGGTTATCCAACACCTTAGCTCAACCAAAACCCCAAAAATCGAAATTCATTTAATTCAAATCGAAAGCTGATGCCAGCTGAAGAAAACAAAAGGAAGGAAATTTATTAGACTAGTTATCCCACATTTTCTCAGCAACCAAACAGCAAAAGATGGTAAGTTACCAAATTTGGCGGGAAGGTCGGCGACAAGAATTCCAGATGGTTGGAGAACAACATTAGCAGTGCTTAGTTGGAGAAGGAAAAAGCAAGCAATCACAGAGAATCCCACTACAGCTTGCCCCATCTTCCTCTCTCTCTCTCTCAGCTCCAAATTACCTAAATTAAACACAAAATTAATTAAAAAATTAATCAAAATTTAGTTTAAGCAATTAGTGATTAAATAAACCAAAAATTGAAAGCAAAAATAGAAAATAAGCAAAGGGCATACCGATTCAGTGAGCTTATGAGATTAGCGAGACTGAAAAACCTCAGAATCGCCCGGAGAGCTGAAAAATGCCAAAGTTTCCAACCTGTCAACGGTTTTTTTATTTTTTTTTCCAAAAGGATTTTAACGAAATATTTTCGATACTGTTTATTTTAATGAAAAATTATATTTTTATATTAAAAAAATTAATTCTGATACTATTTACTTTACCCTTTATTTTGTCTTTACAATTAAAACTCAAAATTTTCAAACCGTTTTCTTTAATTTTTATTTTTTCTAATTTATTTGATCCATACGGTGCCGTTTCGAGTTTTAACCTTAAGCCGAAAATGCTTTGGTTTTCAGCACTGATTTGATTTATTTATGAGAAAACTTGATATAAGTTCAATTTTTTTAACTTAATTTATTAAAATAAGTTCAATTCGTTAAATTTAATTATTTAATTATCAATAATTATCTATTCAATAATAAGATTTATTATAAAAATCAAATTTCTTCCTAATTAACTTTTTGATTATTTCTTTTTATTTTTATTTTTTGTTATTTCTTGTTATTTCTCCTGCTTTAAATCTCATTTATAGATTCTATTTTTAATTTTTATAATCAACCTATATCACAAGTTAATTATTTTTATGTATCTATATGACAGATTCTTTTTTATAATCAACGTATCACAAATTCATGTGTCTTGCTTGTACATATATTATGTTTTTTCCTACTTTCTAGTTAGGTTTCATATCTCGCTTACAGGTATAATATATATTTATATATTTGTTACTTGAGTTAAAGTACAATGTTTTGTAAATAATTTATGTTAGTATATTAGTTTTTTTTTTTATTGTAAGATATTAATTAGATTTTTTGGAATTGAAAAATAAATAATATTAAAAAATTTTAATTAATTTTTATTATTTAAAAAAAATATAAAATGAGTATAAAAGAAATAAAAACATGTAATTAGATAATTGTACTCATTCCTAAAAAGTAAAAACGATCTATGTTTTTGTACCTAGTCTAAAAGCCCCTTGATTTATTTGTTGAAGCTTTCGAATCTGTCTGCGAATTTCATGGAAGAAGAAGAAGAAGCTTCGAAGCCGGCGCTGCCGGACGCCTTCCTCGATTTTCTGAAGGAGAACGGGTTGGACCCTTCCATTTATTCCGAGAGCCACTCGACCCCTCGTTACATAAGGTACTAGTAATACTCTCTATGAATTTTTTTCGAGAGAGTGTGAACTATTACGAGTTTTTAATAAAAATTTAGAATGGGATGAATATTAAACGGACAATAACTTATATATAAATTATAATTTAGTATTTATTGTAGTATGTTTAATGTTTCGGTTTAATTTTTTATTAAAAGTTTGTAACTTTGTTGATTTGCGCATGTTTACCCGGCTATTTTTTGTTTGTGTTTTTGTAATGGAAGAATTGGGTTTTGATGGGTTTTGTTTGTTTTGGCTTGAAGGTTAAAGCCTGGTTTGGAAGCTCGAATCGAAGAGATTGAAGCTGATATCAAGTGGAAGCTTGAAGAAGTGGAATGGTTGCCTGGATTTTATGCTCTTCCGCCGGATGTACAGATTGCTAACTCAAATGCTTACCGGGAAGGGAAGGTGAGGGGGAAAATTGAGCAGTTGGGGTGTTAGTTATTTTACCCTTTTATGGCAAGAAAGTCCCCGAGTTTTGATTTCGAGATTTTGTGTTTGTGTTTGTTTGATTTGGATTTTTAGATATATGGAATCGACGCGGCGTCTGGTGCTGCTGTTTCAGCATTGGATATCTCAACTGGAGATCATGTTCTTGACCTTTGTGCTGCTCCTGGTAAGTTGTTTCTGGTTCCTGTTTGTTACTATTATATATTGCATCGAATTGGAGTGAATGATTTCGTATATGTTGCAGGATGAGAAAATGCAACTAATTCTTTAGCTGCTATGGTTAAGTAATTATGTAATCTGATTCTAAAACATGAATATTAGCGAAATTGCAAAAACACCTGTAGAAGTTTGTTAAATTTTATAAAATGGCAAGAAAAACAAAGAGATAGTTACCGTTTATAGTGTTTCAGAAGCATCCGTACAAACTGTATTTGACAACCTTCGTGTGAGAACATCAGATTCAGTTGCACTGATGACTTTCATTTTCTGAAAATCGCTCACCATGTTTTCTCCCGTGTATATTTTGGCATTAGGTGCTAAGCTTTGTATGATATCCGACCTTCTTGGTGATTCGGGTTCTGTAACTGGTGTTGATGTTTCAAGCCATCGTTTAGCAGCCTGTAGGACAATGTTGCAGAAATATGCATTGGGCAATCGCTGCCGACTATTTGTTGCTGATGGGACAAATTTTTCCCTCATACCCTGGAGAGTTCACTCAGATCCAAAATCATGTAACTGATCTGAATCCACATATACCTGAAGCTTCATATGCAATACAGTGAAATCTTTGAGAATGCTATTTACGGGCATATTGTTGTTTTTAATATGTTATCATTCTATCTAGAATCTTGCAGGTGAATCTGCTTTGGAAGAGAATGTGACATTCAAGGAGTGGACATCTAGGAGACCATGGAAAGAAAGGAAACAAGCAGCTAGGATAAGAAAAAGTGGTGCTGTGCGGTTAGGGAATCAACTTCCAGACCTCATTTATTATGGCTGCCACTCTGGTGTGGTTGGACTGACTAAAAGTGAATTATACCAAACTTTTCATGACGACAAATATTTGAGCTATGGCTATGACAAGGTAATACTGCATTTTGGTTCTTTATTTAAACCCCTTTACAGATCTCTTCACTCTCTATTTCCGTACTTCTTTGGACAACTACCATCACCCTTTCAATTCACCCTTTCAATATCAGTTATGTTACTCTTTGTTGTTTAACATTACTTCTAGTTTGGTTGGATTTTGCTAAGTTAGCTGGATGTTTATTCAGGTCCTAGTGGATGCAGAGTGCACTCATGATGGATCAATTAAACATGTCAAGAAATTCGAACAGTGGGGCTGGGAAACTCTTCAACGCCGTGTACTGGATGCCGAGAGAAGTGATAGCCTCACTGTGCTTCAGGTATCTGATTTCAGTTTCTTTCAAATGTATTTGCGAACTTTGCTACTTTGCTTATTGTTGAAGTTCCATTAGATGAGGAAAGAACATTTCAGTATCAATCCAATGTAGTTTCGTATATTATTATTACTTCGCTATTGTAATTTTTCCCACGTGCATTTCATGGCAGAGCTTCCTTATACATCGTCCCCTTTGACTGATAAAAATGCTTAGTAAAGTGATGACTATATCTGTCTTTGGCTTGCAGTTGAAGCTCCTAACAAATGGTTTTCGATTGCTAAGAGCTGGGGGGATTCTTGTTTATAGCACTTGCAGGTGCCTTTTGTAGTTTGCTCCTTTTAACTTTTAGTACGTTACTCATAAAGGATATCTGCCTGTATTTTGCTAATTTTCGTTTTGTATTGATTAGTTTGACAGTTGCTCAGAACGAAGATGTGGTAAAGCAGTTTCTCGAGGGACATCCTTGTGCAGGTAAATTAACGGTTTAAGTATTTTACAGCCTGCAATTTATGACTATGGTGACTATTAAATGACCAAGTATCATTTTACCTGTAGCGGAATGGCTAATCAAAATTGGTTTACCTTTCATGATGGTTTAAGTACTTGTGTTTTCATTACCTTTTTCCATAAAGAAACCAGAAAATAATAACTGATCTGTTGAATAATCCTCACCATTATCGGCTCTATTTGTTTGAAAAACTCATAAATCTGTTAATCCCGCACTAACATTATGATCTGAAGTTGTTTCTGCTACATTTTCCTCCTCGAGGTTGCTCTTGCATCTGTAGTTCTTACTCTATAAACAATTCATCATTATATCAGAGTCTAATCATATCATTTTACACTTTTATAGGCTTGTGGTTCACTGGTTCCTTGTTATTCCGCAGAATTGCAGGTGATAGATGCTGCTGAAAATTGGCCTTGCAAGAACGGGCGAGTACCAAATACCCTGCGCTTTGATCCCTTGACTTCAAAAACGAGCGGACTGTTTGTCGCAAAGTTCTCGAAATTGACCAGTTAATCTAGTTTTTCGTTGTACTACATTTTTTTTTCCGTTTCTTGAAGCTGCTGATCAATTCCGGCAACCAGTAGGAGAGGAGAGGATCACAATTAACACCAACATATATGCTGTATCTCTTTATATTTCTTTCCAGTAGAAAGAAATCATACAAAAGCAGTGAACATTTCATTCAAGCAAGGCAAATGACATTGCTGGTTTCTTCCTCTTTTTGTGTAAATTTTCATTGATGTAATTTCTCGGAGATTAGCGTAGAATAACCAAACCAATTCGGTTAGACTTTGTCAAGTTAAAAGAGAAATACCATTAGAGCATAGCATCCAGTATCAATCACCCAGACATTGTTATGTTACTATAAGACCTAAACTAAATGAAACTGAACTGTAATTTAATATTAATTTAACTGCTATTTGAGGCTTAAATCGAACCAAATTAGATAACGTTTGGAGGGCGCATTTAGGAAGTTTCGTTTTTTTTTTTTTCGTTCCCAAAGTTGGTATCCCAGATCATGAAAGGAAGGACTAATCTTTTTACCAAAAAAAAAGGTAGGACTAATCCCCAATGGGAGCCGAAAAGGCTAAAGACATTTCAACCTACCACATGCCATGAACTTTCGACCAAAAAATCACCCGCGTATTTTTGCTCGACTCACGCGGCAATGTTCAGGTTTACAAATTATGCCTTGCACTGCTCTTTTGGAAGTTTTTGTTTGCTTGTGAAGTTTCGACATTTTGGTGCCACTCTCAGGTACCGTTTGGTACGTGGGACGGGACGGAACAGAGTGGGACCATTCTGTTCCGTCCCGTCCCACGTTTGGTGCGCCTAAAACGGGTGGAACGAGCTGTTCCACGGGGCGAGTTTTGGGTGAATTTTAGTTCCGCCTCACCCCCTGGAACGACTCGTTCCACATCCGTGGAACACAAAATTATAACCTCTCCGTCTCCTTCTTCCTCCTTGTTTCCATCCGAGGGCATCTTTGCTCCAGCTCCGTTCCGTTCCATTCTATCCCGTCCCGTCCCGTTCCATTCCGTTCCGTCCCGTCCCGTCCCGTCTGCATACCAAACGATACCTCAGTGTCCATTTTGCTTCGGCATCAGAAGTTGGAATTTCAGATGGGAATCAGCTGTCGAAAAGATATGGTCGATCCCTTCTTTCCATCTGAAAGATATGGAATTTAGACTTGGTTGGTGCTATGGTGTTGTCGCTCATGATACCCCAACTTTGCAGAAGACCACTTTACATTCTTGGATGGATATGGTCGATTCCCTCTTTGTTTATTTTTAGTTATTACTTTACGATGAGTTTGGGAGGTGATTGGTGAGGAAAAGTTGTTTGTTGGTTGCAATTTTTGGTTGACCCGGGGAAACTTAACCTCTTGGTTTTCTTCTCTAACTGACAAGAGGCACTTGTACGAAGTATGTAACATAAATGCACCGTAATGTGTTGCTAAATCTTTATGCTCTATCTTGTTTATATTCATTAACTTCTCAAATTCTCAAATTCCTGCTGGGAAAAGTGCAGCCCTCTGAAGCTATGTTCTTCGGTCCTAAAAGGGGCGACTCCTTGGACGAGTTCTTGGAGAGAATCAAAGAATGTGGTTTGCGCTTCAGCGTAACAGAGAATTATGGTGCAAAAATTTGGAAGCATCATAAGGAGCTTTTGGATGGTACTGGTTCGTGGCCTAGCTATCAAGAAGATCACTGCTATCCCTTAATGATCAAAATTACAGTATGAACTTTTGAACCCATATTCCTTCTTCAGCTGCTCATATTTCGGGCAATGTAGATTCTGTGTGGTAGCATGGATTGTGTGTGCGAATTGTTTTGTTATCGTAAGGAACAGGAAATGGCATGTACAGCCAAAGTGTGATATTGCTGCCCCCGCAAATGGTGGTGGATACAGATCCATAGTCACTTAAACACCATATTCCTTCCTTATCATTGTGTAGATCCTCCCTCATTTGTAGCTACCAATTGGAATGGAAAGAACGGCATTACCCATTTTGGTTGATGTAAAATAATTGTGATTTCCTTTTTAAGTCTAGAGGTCCTGGCAGATTTATAGTTTACCAATTGTAATGGAAGAATGGGATTTTGCTTTTTTTCCTTATTGATATTAATTACTGTTGATTTCCCTTTTAGCATGTTCTGGGAGGGTGCAATGAAAGTTATAAACTTTCGTCTGAAGATTCCTTATCTTTATTTGAGCATCAAGTCACATATTTAGCTTTAAAAATATAGCCATCCATCACTGAACATTGACATGGACAGTAAAGGATGCTACGGAACAATGTCAAAAGCGATATACTCTTTGGATCGGTTAAACTAACTTATCTTGGAAATGGGAGATTACTTGTTTGCTTTGAAGCTATATGTCACTGCAGGCTCACAGAAAGGAAGAACCCTTGTCTGCATAGTGTCAAGACGACACGTCCCGGATCAAATCCAAAGCTTTTTTAAAGGTGAATCTATCTCTATTCTCGCTGCACTATTGCTTTACGCTGGTTGGTTCCGAGTGCCACTTGTTCGTATGAAATTTTGCCACTTAACTCAAAAACTATACTCAAATTCGCAGTGCACAACTTCTTTGAAGAGGTAATAAAAATTTATGAGCGTTGATTGATATGCATGATTCGATAATAGGGTGCAACTTTGGGAATGTTATATTAGCCTTTTTATTGTGAATAATACCGTGGCTCTCGTACTCTTGCTGTAACTTAAACTGCTTTCCTCTTGTTAGTTTGATCACTTAAATTTTATCACGAATTAATGTTTTCCTTCTGTTAGTTCCTAACTGTCTTAACTTTCAGCACTGATTAATGCAAGAACGGATTTAAGATGGCGTTACAGGGAAGGGGTGTCCCTTCAGATGGTGATCCCAATATATAGTATTTGATTAAAATATCCATTGCTGGTTTCACCATCACACCTTATCCAAATTATGTTTGCATTTCTGCAGATGGTGATTTTCGCATTCCCATTTTATCCTTATGCCCGCCGCGCTCGCTTTTATGTCTGTGCTTTCTTAACTCGGTGAATTCAAAGGAGAATCAAAGAAGAAAAACAAGGAGTGCAGATGGACAAAATGGGTGTGTAAAAATCACCGCTCTGCTGCTTAAGCTTTACCAACAGTGCAGGTGGATTACGAATCGTCGTTGAAAATGGACCAGTCATGATCAGATATCAATCATCTTATCCAAAGGAAAAAGGTGGTTGTTCTCTGTCTTTGTATTGCTTTGCTTTGTGTGGTTTCCCCACTCAAGTTGTTGAAGAATCACCTCTTTGTATACATATACATCCAGGATGTCAAACTCGAAGGAAATCATCGTCATAGGGCGGCAATTTGGAACATACTTACGTCTGCATTTTTGGGCTTATTTGCTTATCTTGTTTGTAATCATAACGAGAGAGAAGATGCACCATTCATAATTGCCATTACTGATTGAAATTACATAATTTCTTTTTGGCTTCTTCAGGTATGATGATCAGAATGGGAGACCCCTACACGCACTCCTTTTGCTGTCAATTCATCAATGCTTATTGCTTACTGCGCACGCCTATTCATCGTGCTACACGTTCACATCAAAAAGTGCTTGTGTAAGTGAATTATGCGGTGGTTAGAGTACGAGTAATTCTTCTGTGTGATTGTCGCACTATCACAAAAAAGAATGTGGAACCTACAAATAATTGTAGATCCCTACTACGAGAAAGTGGTCATGGTAAAAAAAAAAATGTAGGGAAATGAAGCACATTTTTATTTCTAAACAAATGCATTAATATACGTATAAGTGCTTGCGTAAGTGGATTATGTGGTGGTTAGATTATAAGTAATTCTTCTGTGTGATTGTCGCACTATCACAAAAAAAGAACGTGAAACCTACAAATAATTGTAGACCCCTACTAAGAGAAAGTGGTCGTGGTTAAAAAAAATTTCTGTAGGGAAATGAAGTACATTTTTATTTCTAAACAAATGCTTATGCATCATGCATTAATATATGTATAAGTGCTTGCGTAAGTGGATTGTGTGGTCGTTAGATTATGAATCATTCTTCTGTGTAATTGTCGCACTATCACAAAAAAGAACGTGGAACTTACAAATAATTGTAGACCCCTACTAAGAGAAAGTGATCGTGGTTAAAAAAAAAAAAAAAAAATTCTGTAGGTAAATGAAGCACATTTTTATTTCTAAACAAATGCTTATGCATCATGCATTAATATACGTATGTGTGTGTATCAAACACCGAATATTGTGGGATTTGGACGTGGGTGGTTTACAATTGATTCTCGTCAACTTTCCTTCACTATCCCCACCTTGACATCTCTTGGTTGCATGTATGTTTCTCTCCTCTTGACAATGCCAAGTAGTCGGCCATTTGGGGCAGGATTGGCTACTATAACTGTCAAAATGTGAGAGCCAAAGAGATGACCAAAATCAACATACTTTGAAGAGCCATGGAAGTGGAAGGTTGAGTTTTGGTTGAATCTCCAGTGGCCAAATCGGCTAGCAATGAAGAACCTATTGAGTTCGACCCAGAATCTGACCCTGACCCCGATCCTGATTCATCAGTTGTCTGCGGAGACGAATCTCTTGAAGATTTTAGACTGCACAAAAACATATTCCGGAACCAAATCAATGTCAATTACAAGCATATTTTACAATCGTTAAAGCCGATTAATGTGGATTTAAAATTAATAATCGAATGACATAACATGTTAAATCGTTTTAAAAAAATTTGAAGCCTTTACCTCGAAGTGAGAGAAGCGCAAAATGTGATCGTATAATCAGCATTCGTACACGTAAATGTACTTGAGGCGTCATCGTAAGCATAGCTGTACGACTTGGGACACGCGGACTTAAACAACTGTGAGTACATGGACGGCTTGCATGTAGACGGTGAACCATACGCGCCGTTGCAACAATACTCCGGACTTCCAAACGCGTCACACGCGCTCTTGCACGCGCCGCCACCTTCGACTTTGAGCTCAGCAGGGCACCTACGGTTGAGGTCCGTAACGCACCCGGTGGACGCGCACGCACCCGATCCCCCACTCCCCTCGACGATCATAGGTAAGTTATAACCGTCAACAAGGCTGACATCATAGAAGTCTTGAGAACCCGAACCGAGTGTGAACTCGGCTAGAGTGGCTGGCGGGGCTGCTCCAGCTCCGTTGCACTCGAGCTCGCCTGAGCCGCAGTCCCCGGTTGA